TACTCATATCCAATAATAATCACATTTTTGGCGTCCAAACGAAAATAAAGCATTATTTTTCGATAATTCTACAAGTTTTGGTCTGTGCTCGAGACAGAGTTGCCGAAAAAAGGTGAGCAAGAATGGGCCTACTCACCAGCTTGATCAGAATGGGACTCTTTTCGTTTTTCTGGCATTCTTCTCAATACCGCTCGAACTGGAAACCGTTTCGCCTCGAAGCCGCCTCGATCCGGCTGGGAGGCCAAAAGGCGCGCCTCCGCAGCTAAACACGGACCGTCGGATACCATCAGAACGGCACAGACCATGAGACAGACGAGCACAAGTCGTGCCGGTTTCAGACACGACGTCGTCAATGGCGGCAGGTGTTGATGACGCGGGCAGACGAACAGGTCGTCGCGCCGACAGCAACAGTTGGCGTCTGGCCGTCGAGCTGCCTCGAGACGCTCTGAGGTGGCACCGTTGGCCGATCGGACTGCCAGAACTGGGCCGAGTGAAGCCGGAGACGAGGAGGAAGCTGGCGGCTTGTCGTGACCAGCCGTCCTCGAGGCAGCGAAGGAGCGAGCAGAGCAAAGCCCTTGACTACAGCACAGAGGGTTGGGGCACTATCGGTCGGAGACGACGACGACCAGTTGGAGGCGTCGCAAGAGGAGCAAGACAGGAGTATGGAGTTAGTCAACTGGAAAAACCACTCTGTAGATGAAGACCATAAGTCGGGGATCACAGTTTTCCAAACCCTTCCTCGACCTGCCCAACCAGGTCGAGGACCTTGAGCTAGTTTGGATGAGATGGCATTTTGCGAGACAGACCTGCTTATTTGAGTGTGGTACCACTCAACTTGACATTCTCAACATCAATACAAATGTATTATATTTATATATAATAATAAAATGCCTCATCAGAATGTAATAGAATATTTACTTTAAAAACACCTATTTTGAATAAATGTGAATAATAATAAATAAATAAATAAACAGGTATACAGAAATGTTTAGCATCCTAATTAATCTAGAGGCAAACATTTAATTAGATAAGTTCATGGTCTATTCTAGAAAGTATCATTGGTACTATAGAGTCCGGACCAGGTGTGTTCCTCCACGTCACCTTGACAATATGTCCAAGCAGCGGAAACAAGGTTAAACCACTTATATCCACACAAAGGTCACTCAATCCTGGTATTTATACCTTCGATAAAATAAGGTTAGGTATGGTTACAAACCTCTCTCTCTCCCTCTCTCTCTCTCTATCTCTCTCTCTCTATATATATATACATAGAATTTCCTTGGTTTTGTTTCCAAGAGGCTGGAATAGACTACAGGTTCGAACTCGCTTCATCGTCTCCTCAGCATCCCTCCCTAAAAGGATTTGAAACCGAGTCCTAAATATCATGGCCACGTTGTCATGGCACGGTGTGGGATCCGATTTAGGGTGCTAAACATAATAATAATGCTGCTGCTGCTGATGATGATGATGATGCGAAGGTCGAAACAGCACATTTGGGAGATAGAGCTAAGTAAAATTAAATAGCATTCAGAGTTTTACTTATATAATTGTGATGAAAATTAACTATCAGTCCTTAATAGAAGGTATAGAGTCCAAGATGTTGTGTCCTCTGTTTTGGTCACAGTCTCTTTTCGATGTATAGGAATGGGTTGACCTGGTTTTCGCAACTTGGTCTTGTTGTCAGGGTGATCAA